GCCGTCTGATCTCAATCTGCAGTCACCGGGGCTGTTTAATCACTTTAAACCTTGAAAGGACAGGAGGTCTCAGATGCTCTTCTCCCAGGGGCACCCTGAGCCCAGCCAGTCAGGGTCCTTTGATTGCAGGCAAACGCAAGGGAGTCTTTGGGGGGATGTTGGGAGTTGTGGGTAACTGTGGGCTGAAAGTCACACCTGGAAACAAGCAGAAACTGGGGTAGCTTAGGAAGTGGGAGCAGGGTCTCTGGACCCGCGTGATCAGGCCACTGCCAGACGCTAGTCCCCAGCCATTCTCAGAATCTTTGAGTCTTTGCCTAAAATTTACATCCCAAGGAAGAAGGAGTATCCATCTGGCTTTCCGTGGGCCGTGTGCCTGCAATTTTGTCTCTTGAGGAGGAGGGGAAGGCTCCCAACTACAGACCCACCAGCTGGGTTTAAAGTGGCGGCAACTTTATTTTCTTATACTCGTCCTAGGACATGCTTAGAGAGGAAGCAGGGCTGGGGAGGGAAGAGAAACGTCAATGTGAACATCGGTTGACTGGGGGGTCGAGCCCAAAAGCTAGGTATGTGCCCTGACCAGGAATCGAACCTACAACCTTTCGGTGCACAGGACAATGTTCAACCACGAGCCCCGAGCCCCTCCGGCAGGGAGGCAGGCAGCTTTTAAGTGGCAGTTTCTCTCACTAATAAGCAAATAATAAAACAGTAGATTTTGTTTTCTGCCCTAGCAGGTGCTCCCCTGCAGAACTTGCTTACAGAGTGCAGCCTATTTGCCTGGCTCCTGTGTGCGTCCCTTAGGACACTTTGGACACACACAGGGCCCCGTATCCCCATGAGAACAAGGGCTATGGCAGGGCAAGGGGTCAAGTGGAGGCCACTGGAACCCCTGCCCACTAAAATAATAGTCACTTCGCTCACTCATCCCAAGATTTATTGAGACACTATTATGCGTCAGCAGCTCCACAAGGCCTGTTTCGGGTCTGTAGTTTGTAGTGTCCGGAGGTTACTCATCTGGACTGTTCGAGAAGGTAAATGGGAGCCCAGAGCTCAAAGCAGAGGTCCAGGTTGAAGATAGAGAGTTTCCGTTGTGCCCATGGCCGGGGATCCCAGAAACTACCAGCATTGCCACCTTCACCCGGGGAGACCCAGCCCTCCCTGCCCCTTGCTTTCGAGTAGCAAACGGTGCAAGAGGGGCCCCCGACTCCTCGCTTTATAAATGTCCTGTTGCTTGAATTCCCGCATGATTATATGTTGGTTTTATAAGGTTTTTTAGCGATTTGAACTTGCTCTTTATTACTATATTAGCCTTTATACTATTGCAGTCTTTTATAACACATTGTTCCTGTCTTTTAGAACATATTGTGCTTTTGTAACACTTAAATTGAAGCTCCTCTACTGAAAGGAAGTTAGCATTTTTATTTTGGCCAGTTTCATTTTATGAGGTTTTAAAACAGCGGTCAAAGAGAGGAAAAATGCTTCTGACCTGTGGAGTGTGACCTCGGCTTCTGAAAGCTAGCGCACTTCGGCCTCTCTGAGACTCGAGACAGAAATTCCTCGTTGGGGCAGAGGTAGTCAGCCTCAGGCCCAGTGACCCTCAGCGTGAGGTGGACGTGGCTCCAGGGTCTTGCATCTGCTGTGCATTATATACACAGCGAATCACCCCAAACTTAGTGTGAAACAAGGATTTCTTATTTCTCGCTGCCATTCTGAACGTCAGCAAGTTGTGTAAGAATCAACATGGTGAGCCCTAACCCGTTTGGCTCAGTGGATAGAGCATCGGCCTGCGGACTGAAGGGTCCCAGGTTCGATTCCGGTCAAGGGCATGTACCTTGGTTGCAGGCATATCCCCAGCAGGGAGTGTGCAGGAGGCAGCTGATCGATGTTTCTCTCTCATCGATGTTTCTACCTCTCTATCCCTCTCCCTTCCTCTCTGTAAAAAATCAATAAAATATATATATATTTTAAATCAACGTGGTGGTTTGTCTGCTAGTTGCACCTGGGGTGGCTCCTGGGGCCCTGGTCCTCTGTGGCAAGTCCAAACGGCCTCCCTCTCATGTCTGGAAGCTGATGCTGGCTCTTGGCTGGGGGCCTCCGTTCTCCTGTGTGTGGTCTCTGGTCAGGCGGGAGGCGAGGCTGGCCATCTGCACAGCTGGTCTCAGGCGCCAGGGGAGCACAGGTGGAGGCTGCATGGCCGCTGCAGCCCAGCCCGCGGCTGCACAGCCTCACTCCCACCACATTCTGTGGGTCACAGCAAGTCTCAAGCCAGCCCAGATGTAGAGAGTGGGGAAAGGGATTCCACTGCTGGAGGGAAGGCGCTGCAAAGAATTTGTGGCCCTGCCCAGCTGGTGTGGCTCAAGTAGCTGACCTATGAACCAGGAGGTCACGGATTCGATTCCCGGTCAGGGCACATGTCAGGGTGCAGGCTCGATCCCCAGTGGAGGGTGTGCCAGAGGCAGCCAATCAATGGTTCTTATCATTGATGTTTCTATCTATCTCTCTCCTTCTCCCTTCCCCTCTGAAATCAATAACAAATAAGAATTTCTGGCCCCATTTAATCTACCACAGAGAGCTCCACCCAAAAAAATGACCAGAGCAGGTCACCCTACCCCCAGTAGGCCCCCCTCTGACACACCACCACCGTTCTCCCTCACAACAGCAACATAAAAGGTTGGCATTCATTTTGCAGACCACTCTGCAGAGACTGGTCAGTTAGGAAAGGCATTTGGCCCAGCGACTGATTGCGTTGTTGAAGATGCCACTAGTGTGTCTCCTATTCCACATGCCAATCTTACAGTGTGATGTTGACATTGTAAGAGGTGGGGTCTTATGTTCCCTTTCCTTGGAACTACTTGGAACTTCATAACAACCTTGACCAGTAGAAAGGGGCAGAGTGATGCGTGTGACTTCTGAGGCTCGATCATAAAGGGCCATACAGCCCCCACCCCATTGGTACACCTGTCCTTGGAACTCAGCCACCATGTTATGAGGAAGCTCAAGCAGGTGGAGAGGCCTCTGTGAGTGCTCCAGCCCCCAGCCCGAGAGAGGCCCTCAGCCCTCAGCCAGCATCAACCGCCAGATGTGTGCGTGAAGGAGCCTTACGTTGATCCCAGCCCTGGCTTTCCAGTCTTTCGGCAGAGGCTCTAGACGTCTTGGGGCAGAGATAAGCCATCCCTGTTTGCTTTCTCTGAATTCTTGACCCACAGGAACAAGGAGAGACAATAATGATTATTAATTTTTTTTTAAGCCACTACGTTTGGGGGAACATTGTTATGCTCTGCTAGCCTCAGCACTTGGCTAGAATTCTCAAGGTCATCTCCTGATCCAAGATAGCTGCTCGCGTTCCAACTGAATGCAGAATTCTTAGAAATCCCTTGCAACACATTCCGTTTATATTTCATATGCGAAAATTAAGTCACACTATATGGGCAAGGAAGGCTAGAAATGTTGACACACATACAGCTGTGCAGGGTGCAAGGGCCCACCTTTTATTTATTTTATTTTTAAATATATTTTTATTGATTTCAGAGAGGAAGGAAGAGGGAGAGAGAGATAGAAACATCCATGGTGAGAGAGAATCATCGATCGGCTGCCTCCTGCAAGTCCCCCAATGGGAATCGTGCCCACAACCCGGGCATGTGCCCTTGACCGGAATCAAACCTGGGACCTTTCAGTTTGCAGGCTGATGCTCTATCCACTGAGCCAAACCAGGTAGGACAAGGGCCCACCTTTTAGCTGGGCTCGCTGCTATCTGAAGGAGAGCGGGGTTCTGTGTTTGAGGAGAGGAGAATGGGTAGTGGCTAGGTGGCTGTGGCAGGAGGGCAGGCAACGGAAGAGGGAAATCTTCCCCACGCGGGGGAGCTGAGCCAGTACGTGGACCCCTGCCCTCTCAGCCTCCTTGAATGCTTGGGTGCCATGGAGTTTCCCGTCTACATCGCTTCTTTACAAAGAGTTGACTTCCCTCCCAAAGAAGTGAGGCAGTGAGCCAATGCACAGGGCATGCTCTGGTCTCTAACCCCACCCTTTCCACGTGGCCAGTGGGCAGCCAGACTTTTGCCTAAAATCCTAACATGCAGCCCTGACCTTATCACTTCCCTGCTCAGCCATCTTCATGGGTCCAGTTTGTCCCAGGTTAAGCACAAATTTCGGGATTTGGTATCGAAGGCCTCAGCCAACTCTTCACTGTCCTTTGCTTTTACCTCCTCATCTCGCCTCGCCTCAGGGCCTGCACCCAGGCCTTTCTGCAGGCGGGTCCCACTGCCCAGGACACCCTCTGCCCTGCCTGTGCCGGGAGAATCCCTCCCATTCTCGGCACCCTTCCAGGGCCTCCACGAGTCCTTACAGGGCCTTTGCACGAGTTAGAAAAAGGTTCCCTTATCCGGGGGGATGTAGCGCCATGCCAGGGCTGGAGGAGTGGCCCACAGGCTGGATTCCACCCACATGTGCCCCTCAGCCTGGCGCCCTGGCAGCGTAAACACCCCGCACAGCTGTCCGTGTGAAGATGCCACTTCCAGGGACCACGCCAGCCCCACCAGTGGGCGAGGCTCTTCCTTAGCCCCGTTCTGTCTTCAGTTCCCAAGCCCTGCTTTGGGGCTGGCTGCTTTCTGCTTTGTGTCCTCCAATCAGCTCAGTGCCCACTCCCCCAGGGCACTGAGCTCGAGCCACAGGCCATAGCTCTTTCTCCCCACTCCGGGGGCCAGTCACCACTCCCTTAGTCCTTAGCACGCCCAGCAGCAGAATGGAAAGCCCCGCTGGACTGCAAGAGGGACCACTTGGACCACGCCTTAGGAGTGACCCAGATACCAGTGGACTGAGTCAGCTGCTCAGAGCCACTCAAACCTGAGTCTCAGAGGCCCCGGGCTGGGCGGGGAGGTTCCCTCTCAGCTTACCCTGCTCCTGGGATCACTGGAGCTCAACCCTGCATCCCCTCCCAGAGCCCAGGCTGGCCCAGGGCCCCGGTAGTGGTGGCCTTGGACCCACTGCTCAGGAATGCACACGAGACCTTCCATTTTATACCTTTTATTTTATCTGCATCTTCGCTGTCTCCTCCCTCCCCCACCAGCCCCTGAGAGGGGGTGGAAGCCCCAGTTGGAAGGGAAGGGACTACTCTTTCCTCCCTGGGAGAGGGGTGTCCCCTGGGCCAGGCCCTACTGATCAGGGAAGCAGAGGCCTCCATGGCAGAGCAAGGGCATCGTCCAGGAGGCTGTGTCAGGCTGAGGCCCCTCGGATGCCCTGTGGCCCTGGGCCCTGTGGATCACCAGGAAAATGAAGAGCAGAGAAGCCCAGAGGGTGTGTGCGTGGATGACAGAGGCAGACCTGGACTTGGGGGTGGGGGGCGAGGAGCAGGGACCAGGGAATGTGGTTCAAGGCCTGAGAAGAAGCCTTGGGTTATAGGGTTGCTGGATGTGGGGTGAGTACCCCAGGGAAACTGGCGGGTAGGGAGGGGCAAGGCTGTGCTCTAAGAACCAGGCTCCCGGGAGAGGGGCTGTGCTGCAGGGTCTGATCAGGGACTGGCCCCAAGAGGCCAGAGGGCAGGAGGGCGGCTGTCAGGGGTGGAGGATGGGGACCTTGGGTGGCTGTAGGGCCCAGGCCGTGGTGCTATCGTAACCAGCTCTTCAGCTTCATGGATGTCAGCCCAGCTGGGCATGGCCCCAAACCACCAATGTGTGCTCTGGGTGGCTCTAGGGCTCCCAGTGTGGCCGCAGCCACGCAGGGAGGACCCGCAGGAGGCCCTGTGCTGCAGGCCACACCTGTCCCCAGGATGCCTCCATTTCAGCTTTCTGGAAACTTCCTCCCCTGCCCAGACAGAAGGACTCCCAAGACAGATCGTCTGCCATCACAGGGGGTGGGACGCGGTGGTGGCGGGCAGGAGCCATGCTGGGACAGTTCGTAGACTCAGCCTCGGTGGAGCCCGCAAAGGCCCCGGGGTCACTGCGTTCTGGTCTGTTTGGGAGTCACTCAGGCCTGGAGGCCCTCGGCGGGGCGGGGCGGGGGCGGGGCCGCTTCGGGGCCCAGGGGTCTCAGAAGGCCCCCTGCCCGTCCCCCTGGCAGCCGCTGTCCCCGTGGACGATGAGCACCGGGAAGTAGAGGGCGTCCTCATAGCACGGGGGGCTTTCCAGGGGCTCCGTGTCGTCCCCGCGGCCCCCCAGCGGCCCCCCGCTCAGGCTCCGGAAGACCC